CGTGGCAGCTTTTCTGGACCTAACGGGAAGGTTGCTGGGTGGCGCAGCAAAGGGGGCTTCTTGGAAAGTATTCTGGGTTGGGTTGTGACGTAGGCTGCCAGGGAAATCTGCCTCTCTTTGCCTTGCTGAAGTCATAAACCTGGGCATTCCCAGGGGCTGGCTTGTATTTGCCCCCTTGTCATCAGCACCGTCATGGCTGTGAGGAGGCAGAAGTGGGAAATTAATTTTAAAGAGATCTTCAGTATGAAGATTGAAAGTAAAAGAGAAGCTCTGGACAGCGTTTCTTCCCTCTTTGTGGTTTTTATTCACCGAGGAGTTCCAGGTCTGCCTATAGATTCAGATGATTTGGCAGATCTCTGTTTTACTGTTAGAAGATTGATTGCTCAACTCTGAGCCCAGAGAGTRCCATAGATACAATTTATAACAAAAAGGTAGCCTAAAGCAGAGGTCTCCAATTAGCTTGGTATTTTTAAATATCTCTTCTGCATACTGAAATAATTATTTTGAAGGGCCAATGGGCAAGATTGTTTATTCCCAAGAGTATCCTTTTCGCTGCAAGTTCCAAACTGTAAGCAGTATTTTTTAAAATGGCATTGACTATGCTGCTAAATAAAGAGGATAGCCTTAATTTTACATGATGGAATTTAAAAATTAAGTGCTTTTCCGGRCCTCTGACACACAAAAACCAGTGATGATCAGATTGTTTATTTTCTCTCACCTTTGCTAGGCCATGAAAGCCTGGAGTCCCACCTTCCATCCTGTTTTCTATTTTAAGAACACCGAATCAATTTTTATTTTTATTTTTTCCCACAAGGGATTTCAGTGAGAGGTCGAACACCCGGCAGGTCTTACCTTTGTACATTTGTGGGAATCACATCCTTGGCTGTGAGTGTCTCTGTGTCCATATACATGTATTTATATTCATATAGCAGTAACTTTCTTTAGACAGCTTAAGCAACCAAGCAGGAATTCTAATAAAATAAGAACTACTAATGAAATCAAGAAAGGAAAAGTTAGCATGACTTATCTGTAAGCAATTCCTGAATATCTGCATAGAACCTGGGCAATGATATATAAACCTTTACAGAAGAGGTCCTTTATGTAGGTACAATTTCCTCCTGCTGGCCAACAGAAATTTGTTGTCCAACATAAATGGCAAAAGGGGACGTTCGGCAATATTCAGCTCTGGAAAACAAATGCCAGCCCCTCCTAAACCCATGACTCTGGTGTGACTATCCCACCACAAAAGGCACAGGAGTATTTAAGCAGACCTGTAGGGTGGCAGTGGTTTGTATGAGCTCCTGCCAGGGTCAGGGCAGCTCCTGCCAGGCATTGATGACTCAGAAAGAACACATTTGACAGAACAGGGATGCAGCCCCTGGCCCAGAGAAAGTCAGTGGCAAAGTTCCTATTAACTTCAAGAGGCCTAGAATTTCATCCAGATGGGAATGATAAGTTACAGGAAGGAAAAAAATGGATTTTCATCAGAGAGTAATTGTTGTTAAGCCTTAAAAGCCCATTCGCTCATTTCTTTAACTCTCAATTACTATTTAAGAGTTTATTAATACATGATCATTTAGAAACATCCCCACTGTTTTTGTTTTTTTCTCCCCTYTCTCAYGGTTATCCCGTACATTTGAGCCTGTCCAGTCCTCAGAGAGAGCCCCAAATGRTAGCAGAGCCCCAAACTGTGAATCTCTCCCTCATCATCTCCCTCTTCTTGTCCATCACTTGATCTCACCATAGGTAAAAGTAATTTCAATTTAAAATTAATCACTGCTGGCAGCATGAGCATTCCCTGTGTAGTAACAGGATGGATGAAATTACAAGTTGGACTCTACAGTCACAAGCTGGTTAAAAAAAAAGCAAATATTCAAATACTTTGTTAGGAATTATTCTCTCCTTGAAGCTTTAAGATTTGCTGCTCAGCTTTGCTGTCAGCCAGAGAGATTTGCTCCTGATGGTGCTGTAATCCACTGCTGCTGGTAATTAGACATCATTACTGCTGCGTTAAAGGGAAAGAGAGAAGGAGAGAGGACAGGCTGGGGCTAATTAACTACTTGATTCTAATGAAAGAAAGAGAGCCTGATAGCAACTGGGAGGTTGCACCGGAACAGGCTAGATGTACAACACAGACTTAATTGAAGCAGGGTGTCTTGCAGTCTCACAGTAGCTGAGGCTTGGTCTACTTTCATATTCTGYGGGCAGTAGTGCACGAGGTATTATTCTGTTTTTCCCTTGCCTGGTTGATAAGTAGCTCAAAATCACAGGCCTGTCTTCAGTATCAAGTTTGAGCATGCCAGCAAGGAGAATGCAMAGATGATTACGTGCTGGCTTAATCTATTTTATGGGTATGGTCTCCTCAAGAGCAGCAGTAACAAATCAATTTCTGAATGTTCACATCCCTCTGTGGCCTAGGAGATGCACTTTTGGTCACCAGGCAACAACATTCCCTGCAAAACAGCCATTTTAGGTCCAGAGTGGGACAACACACAGTAAGGTATTTCAGTATGCTCAAGGTATTCCTATATGCAACCTAGCAAGTGTTTCACTTCTGCAACTTTTCAGATTGTTTCTGTTACCACTGTAGATTTTCTTTGGTGAAGCCCAATGAAAAGCATGCTTTCATGAAAGCAGTGAAATTATACCTAACCTAGACACACTGTATAAACAACACAGGCTAGGCCAACAAATATGCCAAATAGTCGACACTGTTTTAATGGTTTGTACTCACCAACCATAAAGAGGTATAGAACTAGTATCTCTAGTAAGATAAGCTTTCTAATAGTATACATGATTTTTATGTTTTCTTTTCACAATTTGTTTTCTGCATGGTTTCTTTAGCTGGAGCTTTTTATTGATTGGCAGCTTGAAAACAAATTTCTTCTCACCACTTTCCTTTCAGTGGCTTGATGTTGTCTGTAGACACAAATATGGACCCTAAAAACTAGTCTCAATTTAAAAAGAAGTTATAAAATAATGACTTGAGCTTTATCAGCAGACTTTAAGCAGAATTTACCTTTGAAAAAGCAGGACCAAGATGATTGCAATATACCTCTCAAATCTAGAATTTACACAGTATTAGAAAACTAATAGAATATAACCTCAAAGGCCAAGTTCAGATTACTTTTATGTCATTACTAATTTGAAATGACTCCACTGACTTTAATGATATCACAGACCTAATGTATGAATTTTCTTGTGCTTTCTTTTACATTTCCAACTACACACAGAGCATAAACTTTCATTCTGAAATCAAATTTTGTTTAGCTTAAATATTTAGATCTTCCAAGAGGATCTGATACCTTACGGATTGCTGCTAGCAGAGCAGCAAGGCTTTCTGCAGGTGCATGGCTGTACTACTGAACCTGATTATGGGATTTAAGGCTTAAAATTATAGACCAGTCAGCTCTAAGGAACAGGCTATATCCCAACCCACCTCTTCCTCTGCTGGACATGAAGAATAGAAGATAAATATATGAGTTTATGTTCCTTTTGATTTTATGTAAATTACTTTGTTTATGAACAACAGAAGAAATAGATCACAATGCAAATAGCTTATAGGTCAAAATTTATTTCTTTAAATTACCTTACACTTTAAATTGTTCATTATTTTAGGGCAATTTATAGCCATTTGAAAATAAGCATCTTTTTTTTTTTTTTTTTTTTTTTTTTTTGCGTTTCTCCCCATTTTGGTTGCCATCAATATAAAAAATTTATAAAAGTGTTCATCAAATGTATATTGGTAGCTCTGCAGCCTACTGAACTGCCAGCACATAATGGCAGTAAGTACTGCAGAAAGGTGATGCTGAGGGTGAGCTATGATTTATCCCAAGGTACGATTCTGCAGGAGTTTTACAGTCCCATTAAATGCACCTTCCAGGCTCAGGAGTGGTGTTCAAACT